CATTCGTGCATGTTGATACCAGAATATTATGCTCGGCCGTACCATCCGCCGTATTTATTGACGATGCTGGGACGGTCGAGCAAATTCATGGTTTCAGCATGATACGTACGGTATTTGGTTTCACATTTGGGTATCTCAATTGAGAGTGTTTTTATTCACTAATTGAGGCATCCGTTTGAAGACTGTTCCAAACATTCAAACGTGTGCTCCAAAAAGTGCGTATAAAATCACTCCTTGTCAAAGTTAGGAGCTTAGCCTAGGAACCATACTTAGGCTTAGGAGTAAAGGAGTTGGAACTAGGAGATGGTATCGAGAGGGTTTGGCCAAAAGGAAGAGGTTTCACTATGGAGCTGGGAGTACAAATAGGAAGAAGAGGAAGGGAAGACGGTACACCACCAGCAGTTGGTATCTAATAACTAATCTAGTACACTAGCTAACTGTAGGCAGTTATAAGGTATGCAAATACAATTCAACACACCCGTAACTGTCTACGGTTTTAGCTAGTGGTGTCTGGCACCAGGTCGCCTGGAGAGCAGTTGCTGTAGCTGGGATACGCACAGAAACAGCGGTGGCTGACCGGTGGCACCTGTGAACGCCAGAGCGGAGGAGGGCGCGGAGGGCGCGGACGAGGGCTGGGATAACCGGAGGGCGTAGGCTGCTGGTGATTAACACCAACTGTTGGATAGGAGGAGGAAGCTGGTGGCGCACTGGCGGAGATCCGAGGAGAAGCGGCTGGAGGAGAAAACAAGCGGAGGAAGAGGCGGCTGGAGGAGAGGAGAGAGGAGAGGAGAGGGGAGTGCAGCGGAAGGAGGAGAAGGGGAGGCGGCTGCCTTCAAATACCCGCCACCCCCACACCCTCTTCCCCCCCCCCCCCCAACGCGGCACGCACTGCAGAAGCACGGGCAGCGACGAGGAGGAGGATAAGGGAGGGGCGGGGGGGGATTTCAAGGGGGTTTCAGCACCCCCGCAGCCTCAGCTGCCAAACCCGCCACCTCCCCCCCACATCGCCCGTCGAAGCAGGGCGCAGCAAGTGGAGGGGCGGGGGGAAGCGGGCTGGCGCAGGCTGGTGGCGCGCGCGCTGCGCGATGGCGGGTTGTGCCATGGCGTACGCGTTGGCGACCATCGCCGGAGCTGGCGCACGTGCTGGCGACCGTCGCCGCGGCTGGCGAAGGCGCTGGCGACGGTTGTCGGGGCTGGCGAAGGCGCTGGCGACCGTCGCCGGGGCTGGCGCATGCGCTGGCGACCGTCGCCGAGGCTGGCGCTGGCGCTGGCGACCGTCGTAGGGGCTGGCGAAGGCGCTGACGACGGTCGCGCGCGACCTTGTGCGCCTGCGCGCGGCTGCGCGCAGCTTCGCACGGTTGCGTGCGCATTGCGACGGGCAGGGAAGGTCCGGGGCGAGCACGGGACGGGTACGGAGCAACCAGCGCGGGCAGCGCGACAGAAGGGCCCATGATTCTTAGAAAATAACAAGGTCCTAGGAAATGACCTGCTCTGAAACCATGTCAAAGTAAATTAGGAACCATGCTTAAGGTTCTGGACTTAGGAGCTAGGAAAGTGGCGAGAAGGATGGAGATGGCCAAAAGGAGGGGGTTCATTATGAAGTTGGGAGTACAAATAGGAAAGAGAGGAAGGGGAAAGGGGTACACCACCAGCAGTTGGTTCTAATTACTAAACTAATACACTAGCATGCTGTAGACAGTTATAAGATATGCTATATCAATTAACACACCCCCGTAACTGCCTACGGCTATAGCTAGTGGTGTCTGGCACCAGGTCGCCTGGAGAGCGGCACATGTAGCTGGGATAGGCACAGAAACAGAGGTGCCTGAGCGGCAGCACCTGTGAACGCCAGAACGGAGGGCGGAGGGCTAATTTGGAGGGCGTAGGCTGCCGGTGTTACACACCAACGGTTGGATAGGAGGAGGAAGCCGGTGGTGTACATGAGGCGGATGAGAGGAGGCGGAGTGGAGAGGCGGCTGCTGGAGTAAGGAGAAAAGTGCAGATGCGGCGGTTTACTGATCATACCCGCCACCCTCACACCCCCTCCCTCTCCCCCCCACTGCAGCAGGGGCGGCAAGGGAAGAGAGGAGGAGGCGGTAGGTGCTGTAAGCACGTTCCCGCCACCTTCTCACCCTCCCCCCCACAGTAGCAGATGCGGCAGTGAGGGAGAGGCGGTGGGCGCTGAAGGTGCAGGTTCACGGGGGCTTAAGCACCCCCGTAGCCACAGGCGCAAGCCCCGCCACCTCCCCCCCGCAATGCCCACCGTAGAATAGCACGGCAGCAGCAGGCGCGGAGGCGGGGAGCGAGGTGGCGATGGCGAGGGCGCTGGCGTCGGCGCTGGCGCTGGCGTCCGCCATTGGCGTTGTGCGTTGGCGTCCGCGCTGGCGCTGGCGTCCGCCGTTGGCGCTGGCGCTGGCGTCCGCCGTTGGCGTTGGGCGCTGGCGTCGGCGCTGGCGCTGGCGTCCGCCGTTGGCGTTGGCGCTAGCGCCCGCCGTTCGTGCTGGCGTCCGCGCTGTCGCTGGCGAGCGCCGTTGGCGACCGTCGCTGGCGCGCTCGCCACGGCTCGTTGGCACGCTCGCCACGGGCAGAGCGCGACGGGGCGAGCATTGCGGGATGGGGCAGCCAGCACGGGGCGTGCTAACGGGCTGCGCTATTGGTGGGCCCATAATTCTTAGGTCCAAGGAAATTTCCAGCTCTAATGCCATGTCATAGTTAGGAGCTTAGCCTAGGAACCATACTTAGGCTTAGGAGTAAAGGATTTGGAGCTAGGAGATGGTATCGAGAGGGTTTGGCCAAGAGGACGAGGTTTCACTATGGAGCTGGGAGTACAAATAGGAAGAAGAGGAAGGGAAGACGGTACACCACCAGCAGTTGGTATCTAATAACTAATCTAGTACACTAGCTAACTGTAGGCAGTTATAAGGTATGCAAATACAATTCAACAATCCTCAATTGATATCTCCAAAATGTCAAACCAAATATTTAGGGTTGCTACACGACCCAAAAAATGACACCGAGTTGGGGTGCACTGAGGCGAACTGCGCCGCACCGTACTTGAAAATATTAGACTTTCAATGTGTTATCCTGAGAAAACATACGAGCCTGCAAGGCTTATCACTTAGCCATGATTAAGTACAGAACTCCGCTAGTGCAGTATCGGATACTTCCACAGCTATGTGTAGCCCAGTTCGCCTAACTAGAAATAATGACCAGCTTTTCCCTCTTGGTCATCGCCCACCCAACCGACCTGGTTACCCGTTTCCAACCTTCACGTACACGTGAAGATGAACCTGCCACGTAGGCAGGCAGCAGATGAGAGAGTGCCACGAATGAGATTGAGCTACTTGCCTTTCGTACACATCGTTTCTGCTTATTTCCCTCATACTGATTGGGTAAACACAGTCCTGGGTTCGTGGTCTTTTGGCGTGGTGGTTTGGCGGTTGATCATGACATTGCACATGGAACTCGACATGACAATTCAAACTCAGTAGTTGTCAAACTCCCAGAACTGCGCAACTGTAGGTACAATTCTCGATTCGTGGGGCAGAGCAGCTGGCAGCGAAGCATATCATGTTGGTGGGAATATGACTACGTTGGGCGTAGTCGTAGCGCATGGTGGCGGTCTCAGTGTACAGCCAAGGGCTACCCAAGTCACTCACTCGTCCAATTTGCAAATCCCATGTCCATACCCCAATTCTCTCGTTTTGTTGTGCGTAACCAATCAAATTGCTCCCTCACACTCCCATACTCGAGCGTGCGACTCGGACTCCAAGCAGCTGCGGGGAAAGAGCCCTTCCTCCTCACCCCCTCCGCTTCTCAACACCAACCAACTGGGTCGAATAAATTCTCGCCTCTTCGAGCTCACTTCGTAACTTCTCGCCAATTCGAGTTTTGAAACTCAACGCGCCGATTCATAGGTAGCAGCTGGCGGCGGCTCCTCGCTTCTTTATACAGCGTCCAATCACGATAAGCCGCTTGAGAGAAAAAATCTTGCGATATTCAGTGTCGCGGCGAATCAGAGTCTGGTTGCGCCTTCAATCGCTATTCACTGCCCTCGCCTCAACAACCGCGCTGTCCAACGTCAGCAAAGTCAGATCAGCAGCAAGACAGGTTTTTTCCGCGTTCAACTCACGCGTCATGGGACAGTGCTTTAGCTGCTTTCTCGGCAAGGCGCGGCCTGTGAAATTGGCGAGAGGTGAGCGAGGTATATGTTTCGAATCAGCTATTCGGGTCCCCGAATTATATAGTCGATGTTTTTTGTAAACAGTCGCGTCGCTCTCGCTCAGTGATCTGCCGCGCGCTATTTTCCATTTCCGCAACTCACTTTTCCCCCAATGTCACGTTCATTCCCGACAATTCCTCTGACGTTTTTCCCGCTTCCCGCTCCATTCCCCTCATCACCCCGCGCAGACACCGCCGCTTCCGCGCAAACCGTCGGCGACGTTCCCCTCCCCGCACCTACCATCCTGCAATATACGCCGTCCCCCGTTGCGGACCACCGCGCATACCATTCCGCGCCTATGCGCGGGCCGCGGAGCTTCCTCCGTACTTCTGAAGTCGTTCCTGTCCACCTTCCCCCGCCTGCTCAATCCCCCGGGGAAGAAAAAGCGCAGGCCCCACCCGCTTGCTCCTCCGGTGTGTGTTCTTCCGAATTGTGCTCCTCCGAGTGCTCTTCCAGAGTGTTCTCCTCCGGAGTGTGCTCTTCCGGACGGGGAGTTTCCGCCGCCATTCAGGAAAATCATTTTCCCGCCGACCTTTCCCCCGTGATCTCCGTTCTTGCCGGCGCGGGGAGGGGCACCGCCATTCCCTCGCCCAGCCCCACTTCTCCCGCACGGAAGGACTGGTGCCGTTCCCCGAACTTCTACAGCTCAACGAATTTTGCCGTCCCAGCCAACAGCGACTCATATAGTTTTTCCGCCGCAGCTGCGCAAGGGGCGCCGCTTTCCGCCGCCGCTGGCACTTCCTCCGCGGAGTCCTCCCTCTCCCCGCAGCTTTCCGCCATGTGCTCCGCGCGTGACTCTGCCTCCGGCCAGACGGCCCACTCTCCGCTCCACGAGTTCACCTTCGCGGAGCTGCACGAGGCGACGGGAGGATTTTCGGACTGCGTGGGGGAAGGCGGGTTCGGGAAGGTGTACCGCGGGCGGATGGTGCTGCCTGTCGCTGATTACGTCACAGGCGGCACCGAGATGAGGGAGCGTGAGGTGGCGGTTAAAGTGACGAAAGGAAAGCAATTCACCAATAAGGAGCTGAAGGACTTCCAGGTGAGTGCTCTCAAGCAAAAACGTTCTGAGCAGGTGAGTGCTCTGTGAGAGCAGCAGGTGAGTGCTCTGTGAGAGTAGGTGAGTTTTTCAACACTGAGAGTTGCAGAGCGTACCCTGTGGGGTATAGTTATGTTGGACAGAACGGAAGAGAACAATACATGACAAAGAATGTAAAGAAAACATGTAACGGTCATTTGTGCTTTCGGATCCATCCTTACTCTCTTGTTCCGTGCTTTCAGGCTGAGGTGGCAGCCATGTCAGCAATGAATCATCCCAACATTCTGAAGTTGGAAGGCGTGGCGATCGACATGGAGCAGAGGCCGCTACTCGTTTATGAGCTGATTCCTTTGGGCAACGTCCAGCAATTTTGACACGAGGTAAGAGAAATCCCCTCTCCTTAAATCCTCTCCCTCTCCTCTCCTCTCCCTCGCCGTCTCCCCCCACCCAATTTGCTCGCCCATGTTCTTTCTCACGTTTACTCTCTTCTCGCTTTGCAATTGGCCTAATTGGCTCGTTTAAAAGTCTGTAATGACAATGTGTAACAAAGTTTTTGCTCCTACCCTTGTTCAAACCCATCTCCACCACTGAATGTCGTTCCCCCATTCCCCCCCTCCACCGCTCCTCTCTCTCGCTCACTTCCCCCCATCCAGTCCGCAAGAACGAAATTCGTTTCCCCTGAAAGTATCGTGTGAAGGTTGCACTGGGGTGTGCCGAGGCACTGGCTGTAATTCACGAAAAGAGGTTTATTCACCGCGATTTCAAGTCGCCGAATGTGCTTCTCAGGAAGGTACGGATACAATCTGACCAAATGTCCATGTTTTCTGTCTCTTTGCTTGACGATTATTCTTTCCCTGTTTTGTTTAACCTTTATTTTTTTTTGTGCTATATTATTATCACTCTTGCTGCATGCTACATTCTTATATACGCATGTATCAGACCAGCTCAATTGGGTTTGTTTGGTATATAAATTTGATGTCCCAATCCCTTTTCACTACAACCTGTAATCCACAGGATCTCACTCCAGTGGTGGCCGATTTTGGTCTGGCTCTCACTATCGAGGACTGGAAAACACACGTGACAACTCAAGTGAAGGGCTCGCATGGTTACATCGACCCAGACTATTTCCAGACAGGCCAACTGTACCCTACAGCTGACATTCACGCGTTTGGTGTGTTTCTTCTGGAGCTCATTTTTGGCTACTACCCCCTGGACCCAAGATTTATAGAGCTGAAGAAGGTGGTCAGCACTAGGGATTTCTGCAACCCTTCCTTGGTTGCCGACCCAACTATGGAGGGGGAATGGGAAAAACAACATGTTCTTCATATCATTGTTCTGGCTCGTTTTGCCACTTGCCCCGATCCGACAAAACGGCCCCAAATGGGGGATATAGCCGCAAAACTTCGGGGTATTTGGAGGGCAATTTTGAGTGAAAAGTAAGGCTGGTCATAGGATAGGGTGCAAGTTGATGTACTATATTGATTTGCTCAACCAGCAACTTTGTCATGATGTTTCTTTGTTAGTAATTCTAAACATGTTCATAACACATCTGGTACTATTTACTGTGAACAAAACTGAGATGAAATTCCATGGGTGAATCGTCAATTGTATCAAGCGACACTACCCATGCATGCCATCAACTACAGTACATACCAAAGCAGTGATTCTTTTCATACCGAGGCGGCGAGGAGCCAGCTATAGATTAGTTATTACTGTCAGAATGAAGAACGGATGATGCATTGATGTTGGTTGGGGTACATATAGCTAACCCTAAGTTTTGTACCCCCTAAGACAAACCTCACTATAGGCTACAACATTTGACACACCCCCATAGCCTAAGTGAGGGGTGTCTAGCAGAACCAAACGAGTACGGTCACAAGACCAGTCCAAGAAACGAAGCTCAGGGTGGATCACAACGTCACCACACAGTCTGAGCACAAACAACAGTGGCCACAAGGCCAGTCCAAGAAGTAACAGAGATATATAGAAAGCAAAGTAAACAGTACACTCAAGTCTAAGCAACACGAGAACCAGTGTCAACAAGGCCTAACTGCACACAGCACCTCTGGTGGTCACAAGGCGGAAGCGCCTTGGTGAAGATGTCTGCAGTGTTGGCCTCGGACTCCACAAACTCAAAGCGAGCCTGTCCACGCCTCTGCAACTCTCGCAGAAGAAAGTACCTGACGTGAATGTGCTTCACTCTGCTCTCCAGTCGTGGCTCTCGACAAAGGAGAATAGACGCCTTGTTGTCAGTGAACAAGGTCGGTGCAGAGCTCGGCCGCTCACCAAGGTCGGTGAGCAAGAAGGTCAACCAACGCAGCTCCTGTGCCGCCATGGCACCAGCGTAGATCTCAGCCTCAGCTGTAGAGGTCGAGACCGAAGAGGAGCGCGTGGACCGCCAGGAAACAGCTCCAGAACCCAGGCTGAAACAGTACCCCTGAGTAGACCTGTGAGTCTCAGCGTCGTCAGCGTAAGAGGAGTCACAGTGACCAGTAAGTACGACAGACTGCTGCCCTCCAAGAACTAGCCCCACGCCTGATGTCGTCGCTAGGTACTTCGCCACCCTCACAGCTGCTGTCCAGTGAACAGGACGGTGTCTCCTTGGCGCAACAAAGCGCGCAAGAACGCTGAGAGGGAAGGCGAGGTCCGGGCGAGTACAAGTCATCAGGTACATGAGGCAACCCACAAGCTCTGCGTAGGGACCACTAGGCTCGAACGGCTCGTCAGGAAAGGGTCCAGTGAGTCTGTGGTCAACAGCAAGAGGTGTGCGCTGTACTGTGGAGTGCTGAAGCCCGAACCGCTGAAGGACCTGCTGCACCATGTGTGACTGTGAAAGTGTAATGGTGCGAGCAGCTCTGTCCCTGGTGATCTGCAGGCCAAGGTAGTGGCGCAGCTCACCAAGGTCAGTGCACGTGTGTCTCTTCTGCAGTTCGGACTTCACGTCTGCCAAAGCAACCCTGTCCGGAGTGGCGAAAACAAGGTCGTCAACGTAGACCAGAACAAAGAAAGGTGTGGGGCTACAACGAACGAATAGCGACGGGTCAGCAGAAGACGGCTGGAACCCAAGGTCAGACAGGGTAGAACGCAGGGTGTCGTGCCACTCACGAGGAGCCTGACGAAGACCATAAACATGTCGCCTCAGCCTCCACTGGGTCCCAGGAGGGAAAGTGCCAGTGAAGGCCGAGGGACGACGCAGCCAGACCTCCTCGTGTAGGCTGCCCTGAAGGAAAGCAGTGGAGAAGTCGAGAGAGTGTAACTCGTAGTCTCTCTGTGCTGCTACGTGTAGTAACACCCGAAGAGTGGTCATCTTCGGGGTAGGTGCGAAGGTCTGAAAGAAGTCAACTCCCTCGCGCTGACTGAAACCTCTAGCCACGTAGCGCGCCTTGAAGACCGGGGGAGATCCCGGTGGCCGCTTCACCCTGTAGATCCACATGCCGTCAACTACGTTCGCCCCCGGAGGGGGAACCTCATCGACGTAGGTGCCTGTGGATCTGTAGGAGGCCATCTCTGCGTCCATGGCAGCTCTCCACTGAGAGGCCCAAGGCCCTGACACTGCCTCAGCGTAAGTGCGAGGAGTCGGAATGTCAAGGGCGTCGGGGTCACCCTCAGGGGCGAGGAGCATGGCACAGAGATGAGGGGAAGCGGCCGCCAGGAACTCTAGCTCAAACTGCCTGTCCTCTAGGGCGTCACAGCCAAGGGCAGACACACCCCCGACGGCCAGAGGACTGGAAGGAGGAGCAGCCACAAGAGCGGTGGCGAAGTCAAGGCGGCGGGTAGAGGCAAACTCAGTGACTGCGGCAGTAAGAGCGGACACAGAGGACACAGAGGCACGAGGGTGGGTAACAAGAGAGGCGAGAACACGAGAGAGAACAGGACGGTACGTGCGGTAGTAGTCAGTGACAGGAGTAGGAAGCGACGCAGTGAGGGCCGACTCAGGAGGAGACGGAAGTACTGACGGAGACGGACGAGGTGGACGAGAATAAAGGACGGCTGTACGAAGGTCAGTGAAGGGAACAGGAGACGAGGGACGAGCACGAGGGGAGCGACGAGAGGCCCAAGTCTGAGAAGGAGGAGGAGACAACGAAGACCTAGAACGAGGGAAAACAGCGGGAGAGGGGTCAGGAGGAGGAAGCGGAGGACCAGAGACGGGAGGAGAGGGGGAGGAGGAAGGAGAGGGAGAGGGGAGACCAAGGGTCCGAAGACCCGAGACAGGAGGAGGAGACGGCAGCTGCTGCTGCAGCTGCTGCTGCTGCTGCTGCGGCTGCTGGGGCTGCTGCGGCTGCTGCTGTCGCTCCTGCTCCTCGAGCCGCTGCAACTCTCGCTCCTCTCTCTCCAACTCCAGCTGCTCCTCACGAGCACGGCGAACACGAGCCTGGAACCTGGTCGGGTAGGGGTGGGGGGAAGGAGTAGTGTCCGGGGCAGCGGCAGCCCCAGAGTCGACCTCCGAAGCACCAAGCACACCACCCCCAGAGGCAGCACCAACACCAGCTCCAGACCCAGGCTCTCCAGAAACCGAAGGGACACCCTCACCCCCAGACGCAGCACCCCCAGACTCCGCACCAGCACCCCCAGACTCCGCACGACCAGTACCAGCCCCCGGAAGACAAGAGTCCTCTGCAACCCGCGGCTCAGCTCCAACTCCAGCACCCCCAGAACCAGAGACCTGTACAGGGACAGTCGCAGGACCAACCTCCCGAGAGGGAGCACCTGCAGGAGGCGGCGAGGAAGACTGTGGGGAGGGAGGCTGTACAGGGGGGGCTACCGAAGGGGGAGGGCTAGCCTGAGACACACCAGACGGGGCTGGACCAGGGGGGGGAGGCTGTACCGGGGGAGCAGGCGGGGGAGCGGCGGTCAGGAAGAGAGGGGGGGGAGGGACCGGGAGACCTCGACTGGGGTACCTGACGTAGTAGGGGGTGGACTCCTCGAAACGGACGTCACGGGAGTCAAAGAACCGGTGAGAGGGAGGGTGGTAAAAGGTGAAGTCAGAGGAGTCCTCAGGGAAACCAAGGAAGACACAAGGAACGGCGCGAGGCGAGAGCTTGTCCGCGGAGGTGTCGCGGACAAGAGCCAAGCACCCCCAGACACGAAACCTCGACGCGACACCAGGGGACCCTGTCCAAAGACTGGTCGGTGAAGCCTCCGGCCGAGAGACGCGTGGCCAGAGGTTCAGCTGGTGCGCGGCGTACCTGACCGCGTATGGCCACAGGAAATGGGGGGCACGGGCGTGAGTCAAGGAGGTGCGGGCAATCTCCATGACCAGGCCTATGCGACGCTCAGCAACCCCATTCTGCTGTGGGGACTCCGGAAGCGTCTAGGATTGACGAATGCCCTGTTCGCGACAGAATCCAGCGAGAATGCCGGAGCGAAACTCGCC